AATCTCCTTTAAGTCTTAACTGTCTCTCTATTCTAAGAACTCCCCCTCCATTTGATGCTGTGATACTACTGTCATGTCACAGTTGTATCTTCTTTATTCTCTTGCATGCCTCCTCTTATGTATCTATTTATTTTCATTCTTCAATTCCCACACTTTAAAACTAAAGCTCTTTTTTTGCTTTTGTTCTTTTTGTCAAACAGTAGTCATCTAGTCTCATCATTCCAGCTCTAATCTCTCTGCACCTCATTATATCTCTGGACGGCACCTATACCCCAACTCCCAGGGACTTCATTCATTCACCACTCAGTGATCTTCTTCAGCCAGTGGCCAAGCTCTGTCCTCAAGTACCCATCAGTGTCCTGCTCTAAAATTCTGTTTCTCTGTTCAAAATAATTCAGTCTCTTTTTCCTTCATTTGTTTACATTACTCGTGTTTTTGTTTTTGTTTTTCTTTAAAGTGCCACATTCTGCCAGTCACTTAGACTCAAAACCTTCCTCCTCCTTCCTCTTCACGATCTGTCAAGGTTCGTCCTGTTACATTTGCTTGGCAACGTCTTCTACTCCTTCCTTCTCTGCTGCTGCCACCCAAGCCCAGTCGGCATGTTGATCATTTCAGAAGCCTTTGTTCTTCTTCTGTCCTTTATTCCTTCCCTCAGATCAGCTGCCCCATCATTGTTGCCTTAGTAACCTTCCTAGAACACCACTTTTGTCCTGTGTTGTTCTGCTCAGGCTTTCTGGGAGTCTCCATTGCTTTTGGCAGGGTTTCCTTTTATTTTTACATATTTAAAAAAATTAAATTTATTTTTATTGATTTCAGAGAGGAAGAGACAGGGAGTGAGAGATATAAACATCAATGATGAGAGAGAATAATCGTGAGTTGGTATGAGTATGGGTGTGTGTGAGTGTTAGTGGGTGTGTATGAGTGCGAGTGGATGTGTGAGTATAAAAATGGGTGTGAGAGTGTGTGTGTGAATGTGAGTGTGAGTTGGTATGTGTGAGTGTGAGAATGGGTGTGTGTGAATGTATGTGAGACAGACAATTTTAGTTGACTTGAAAAAATAAAGAAACTTAGAATATTTTTATAGAAAGTGAATGGAATCTGAAAATCAGTCCCAGCCTTGCAGCGTTCATAGACCCCATTATACAAATTCCTCCTGCTGACACCCAGGGCCTTCATCCGTTTGGGTTACATTTCTCTTTTCAGCTGTTTTTCTTTTTGATGTCTTACTGTTGTGAGGATATGCTCACTTTCCCAGATTTGTGTGGAGCTTCTGCTGCCTCTTCAGTTTTTTTTTGTTTTTAAAAAAAATATATATTTTATTGATTTTTTTACAGAGAGGAAGGGAGAGAGATAGTTAGAAACATCGATGAGAGAGAAACATCGATCAGCTGCCTCCTGCACATCCACTGGGAGAGGCTTGAAATTATATGTTATCTCAGTTCCCAGCGTCCTTAATCTCCGTTAAGTCTTAACTGTCTCTCTATTCTAAGAACTCCCCCTCCATTTGATGCTGTGATACTACTGTCATGTCACAGTTGTATCTTCTTTATTCTCTTGCATGCCTCCTCTTATGTATCTATTTATTTTCATTCTTCAATTCCCACACTTTAAAACTAAAGCTCTTTTTTTGCTTTTGTTCTTCTTTTTGTCAAACAGTAGTCATCTAGTCTCATCATTCCAGCTCTAATCTCTCTGCACCTCATTATATCTCTGGACGGCACCTATACCCCAACTCCCAGGGACTTCATTCATTCACCACTCAGTGATCTTCTTCAGCCAGTGGCCAAGCTCTGTCCTCAAGTACCCGTCAGTGTCCTGCTCTAAAATTCTGTTTCTCTGTTCAAAATAATTCAGTGTCTTTTTCCTTCATTTGTTTACATTACTCGTGTTTTTGTTTTTGTTTTTCTTTAAAGTGCCACATTCTGCCAGTCACTTAGACTCAAAACCTTCCTCCTCCTTCCTCTTCACGATCTGTCAAGGTTCGTCCTGTTACATTTGCTTGGCAACGTCTTCTACTCCTTCCTTCTCTGCTGCTGCCACCCAAGCCCAGTCGGCATGTTGATCATTTCAGAAGCCTTTGTTCTTCTTCTGTCCTTTATTCCTTCCCTCAGATCAGCTGCCCCATCGTTGTTGCCTTAGTAACCTTCCTAGAACACCACTTTTGTCCTGTGTTGTTCTGCTCAGGCTTTCTGGGAGTCTCCATTGCTTTTGGCAGGGTTTCCTTTTATTTTTACATATTTAAAAAAATTAAATTTATTTTTATTGATTTCAGAGAGGAAGAGACAGGGAGTGAGAGATATAAACATCAATGATGAGAGAGAATAATCAATTGGCGGCTGCCTGAGTGCCCCTACTGGGGATCGAGCCTGCAATCAGGGCATGTGTCCTGACTGGGAATTGAACAGTGACCTGCTGGTTCACAGGTCAATGCTCAACACTGAGCCACACCAGGCAGGGTTTCCTCTTGATGGAAAAATGTATTCCCAGTGTTAACATAAATTATTTTACTTAAATGCAACTTAAATATGTCCAAATATAAAGTTAAATATAAACTTTTTCATGTACAACTGTTTAAAACAATTTTATAAATTCGGTCATAACAAAGCTATATAATGGATAAATTTTATAATGTGACTAGAGGCCCAGTGCATGAATTCGTGCATTGGTGGGGTCTAGCTGGCCTGCCCCAATTGGGGCCAGGCCAGCCAGGGGAGGGGACGCAGGAGGTTGACCAGCCAGCCCTGCCCCTGATCCAGTTGGGGGGCTGATCAAGGCTGGGCTGGCTAGGGGGAGGGGCTGCAGGAGGTTGGGGGGGCTGATTGGGGCCCTGATCGGGCTGGTTGGCCACTGTAGTGGGTGTCATAGTAACTCATCATTCTGGTCATTTTGGTTCTATCATTCCGGTCACGTGACTTTTATATATATAGACTAGAGGCCCGGTCACAACATTCGTGCATGGGGGTGGGTGATGTCCCTCAGTCCAGCCTGCACCCTCTCCCAGTCCAGGACCCCTTGGGAGATGTCTGACTGCTGCCACGGAGGCAGGAGAGGCTCCCACCACCACTGCTGCACTTGCCAGCCATGAACCTGGCTTCCGGCTGAGCAGTGTTCCCCCTGTGGGAGAGCACTGACCACCAGGGGGCAGCTCCTGCATTGAGCGTCTGCTCCCTGGTGGTCGGTGCGCATCATAGCAACCAATCATTCTGCCATTTGGTCAATTTGCATACTAGGGTTTTATTATATATATATAGATGTTTGCCAAAACTAAATCATGAAGGTCAATGTGGATATGGTACAGACTGTTCAGAGTTTGACATGAGCCTGTTACATGCTCAGACTTCCACACAACCTTTGTTTGTACAGTGTGCTATGATGTCATTTGGCCTTCACGTGATACCAATGTGTCATTTGGAAAATAGATGGCATCATTTTTTATTTTATTTTTTTATCCCTCAGCCTTCTACAAGGAAAATAGCTGCAGTGACAGTAACCTAGATAAGATGCCCATCCAGACACTGGTACTTATTGGTGATTTGGGATGATAGGGTGAGCACCCAGATGACCCAGAATATGGTGAGTGTGTGTGAGTATGAGAATGTATGTGTGTGAGTATGTATGTGTGTGTGTGTGAGTATGAGAATGTTTGTGTGAGTATGAGTGGGTGTGTGTGAGTGTAAGAATGTGTGTTAGAGTGGGTGTGTCAATGTGAGTGTGAGTTGGTGTGTGTGAGTGTGAGAATGGGTGTGTATATGAGTATGAGAATGTGTGTGTGGATGTTAGTGGGTGTGTATGAGTGTGAGTGGGTGTGTGTGAGTGTAAGAATGTGTGTGAGAGTGGGCATGTGTGAGTGTGAGTTGGTATGAGTATGGGTGTGTGTGAGTGTTAGTGGGTGTGTATGAGTGCGAGTGGATGTGTGAGTATAAAAATGGGTGTGAGAGTGTGTGTGTGAATGTGAGTGTGAGTTGGTATGTGTGAGTGTGAGAATGGGTGTGTGTGAATGTATGTGAGACAGACAATTTTAGTTGACTTGAAAAAATAAAGAAACTTAGAATATTTTTATAGAAAGTGAATGGAATCTGAAAATCAGTCCCAGCCTTGCAGCGTTCATAGACCCCATTATACAAATTCCTCCTGCTGACACCCAGGGCCTTCATCCATTTTGGTTACATTTCTCTTTTCAGCTGTTTTTCTTTTTGACATCTTACTGTTGTGAGGATATGCTCACTTTCCCAGATTCGTGTGGAGCTTCTGATGCCTTTTCAGTTTTTTTTGTTTTTGTTTTTTTAAAAAATATATTTTATTGATTTTTTACAGAGAGGAAGGGAGAGAGATAGTTAGAAACATCGATGAGAGAGAAACATCGATCAGCTGCCTCCTGCACGCCCCCTACTGGGGATGTGCCCGCAACCAAGGTACATGCCCTTGACCAGAATCGAACCTGGGACCCTTCAGTCTGCAGGCCAGGCTGACGCTCTATCCACTGAGCCACACTGGTTAGGGCATGCCTCTTCAGTTTTAATTTGATGTTTCTCCTCTGAACTTTCTGTGTATCTAATACTTGGGAATTTCATTTTCTTGTAGTATGAGTTTTAGTGGTTTGATTTTCATGTTCTGGACATCACTGGACTTCATGGGCCCTAGAGCAAAATAGTATCTTAGAAGTGTTTTCGTCTTCAGGGTCATCCCTGATGTTCCTGGAGCCCTTAATTCCCAGTGGATCAAGTGGCCATAGTGGGCTGTCTCAGGGACTGGACCTCCTTATGGATCGAATGACCATAGGAGACTGTCTCAGGGACTGGATTCCCCTGTGGAAATGACTTCTCAGTGGAGGGAATAGCCATAGGTGCTGTCTCGGGGACTTAGTGTCCCTTGGGAAATGTGATTTCCTCATAGAGAGTGTAAGCAAAGGAAAGTAACTTGATGCAGAAAATTTGTATTTCTAAGCAGCCGAAATGCCTGAGAAGTTTTGCATTTTTCACGTGTTTGTTCTGTATTTCCAGGAATGCTGGGAAAGATTCTAATGGCCATCCGAGATGCAGGCTTTGAGATCTCAGCTATGCAGATGGTACGTAGTTTGCAATGAGTCACAACCTATTAAGGAATTGTTTTTTCTACATAAGTTTTGAGATGTTTTACATTGAATTTTCTCTGCATTAAAATACACACAAAAAAATAGAGTTACTGAACTTGGTAATCTATATATATAAAAGCCTAATATGCAGATTGTCCCCTTGGGAGTTTGACCAGGAGACCAGTTCTATCACTCGCTATGATGTGCGTTGACCACCAGGGGGTGGTGTGGAATGAAGGAAGGCCCTGGCTGGCAGCTGGGGAAGGGAGGCCCTGGTATCGATCGCTATGATCTGCGTTGACCACCAGGGGGTAGTCTGGAATGAAGGAAGGCCTTGATCAGCCCTGATTGCCGTCCAGGTCTAGGGACCCTATCTGTGCATGAATTTTGTGCACCGGCAGTCAGGTCTAGGAACCCTATCTGTGCATGAATTTTGTGCACTGGTCCCCTAGTCTTATAATAAAAATGTTTTTGAAATTATTTTACACATCAAATCTTTCACTGAGAGAACTAACAGTCAAGTTGTGCACCTAATAGAAGCTGGTACAGTAGGTTTATGCAGTTCTTGGAACTTTGCTGGCAAATATGGGCTGAAACAAAGTATTTAGTTTTTACAAACAAAAGATAGAATTAAGCCAAGTAGTTATAGTGACTTTTCTGTTGTCTGGATCTGTGACTCAGAGGGGAGTGGGGGAAGAGATCATTTCGGATTTCTCCTAACCAGGGCCTTGTGCTGGTTTCTGGCTTTCCCCTCCGGCACCTTCACAGAGCCAGCGCCTTTCAGCCCCTCGGTGGCTGGCAGACTGCCCAACACACGTCTAGGAAACCATCCACTGAAGAAGCAGCACCGTTCCTTCGGGGCTCAGGCCTCTGTGCTCCGCTTACCAGTGCATTTGAGGAGGAATTGGGTGCAGATAATAAACAATGTGGGTGTTACAGTACCGAAGGCCAGCAAGCTTCTGCTGTTATGATAGTGAAATACCGATCCGATTGGTGGGGCTGCCTATAGGTCAGGAAAAGGTCAGAAATATCGACTGGTTTGCAAAGTCTTCAGGCAAAAACTTGGAGACTGATAAGGAAGTTGGTATTTGAAGAATCTTATCTAGAAGATTCTTATCTAGGACTATAAAGAAATTGTGAGCCAAAACCTTCGCAGAGTAGCAGCATGGCGATGTATCTGCAGCTTTGTGGGACCTAAGCCTGCTTAAAAAATAACCAGTGTGGGAATTTTAGCTGTAAACATTGATCTAAGTCTGGCTAGATCAACCTATAACGTAACTCAGTGATTGGCCCTTGTAGGTGCTCAGTGAAAACAAGGATAATTTTAAAAGGATTCATTGAACCTGTGGGGGAGGCATGGTGATTTCATGACAAGCACACTCCTTCATTTTTGGAGTCTTAAAGATCTATTTATGAGTCACGGGTCAGCTGCTTTCTAGGTATGTGACAGTGGCCAGATGTCAAGCTTTTTTTTTTTAATTCTCACCTGAGGATATTTTTTCATTGCTTTTTAGACAGAGCTGAAGGGAGGGAGAGAGGAGAAGAGGCGGGGGTGGGGGCGGGGGACAGAGAGAGAGAGAGAGAGAAACATTCGTGTGAAAGGGACACATCCGTCAGTTGCCTCCCATAGGGGATTGGACCTGCAACCCAGGTACATGCCCTTGACTGGGAATTGAACCCATGGCCCTTCAGTGTGTGAGCCAACACTCTAACCCTTAGTAACACAGCCAGGGCTCAAATATTCTTATCTTCAGTTTTATCAGCTAAGCAAGGAGACCATTATTGTCTACCTAAGTAGATTAAATGAAATAACCCTACCTAATGGAAGAATTTTCATTGCAAGAATTGTGGAATTTTCAGTGCAAATCGCTAGGTATTTAATAAATTGTATTTTCTGTTACTACTTATTATATTAATAGTACAGGTTGTGTGAACATAGGATAAAAAAACACCTGAAACCAAACAAAATTCCTTCCCTGTATTGTATTCCCAGTGGATCAAGTGGCCATAGTGGGCTGTCTCAGGGACTGGACCTCCTTATGGATCGAATGACCATAGGAGACTGTCTCAGGGACTGGATTCCCCTGTGGAAATGACTTCTCAGTGGAGGGAATAGCCATAGGTGCTGTCTCGGGGACTTAGTGTCCCTTGGGAAATGTGATTTCCTCATAGAGAGTGTAAGCAAAGGAAAGTAACTTGATGCAGAAAATTTGTATTTCTAAGCAGCCGAAATGCCTGAGAAGTTTTGCATTTTTCACGTGTTTGTTCTGTATTTCCAGGAATGCTGGGAAAGATTCTAATGGCCATCCGAGATGCAGGCTTTGAGATCTCAGCTATGCAGATGGTACGTAGTTTGCAATGAGTCACAACCTAT